AAGAATAGAGTGATTCTAGAATATTCTCCAAGGTTGCAGTTTAACTCTGCTTCCCCCACTTTGAAACTATAATGGGCTGAATTGTGTGCTCTCAGAGGTTCCTATGTCAAAGTCCTAACTCTTGTACTTCCAAAAGGGCTATTATTGGGAGTCAGGGACTTTGCAGGGTAGTCAAGAGTAGACAAAGTCATTGAAGTAATTCCTAATCCAACCTGACCAGTGTCCCCATAAAAAAGGGAAATCTGGGCATGGAGACAGACACAGGAAGTGGACGTGAAGACACAGGAAGATGATGACACATCAAGGAGAGAGGCCAGGAACAGATTCTCCTTTATAACCTTGGGAGAAACCAACCCTGCCTATACCTTAAACTCTAATCCCATCCTCGAGAACTGGGAGACAGAACTTTCTAGTGTTTACGCTGCCACTCATGGTACCTTGTGAGGGTGCCCCTAGGAGCCAAACACAATATCCATCTCCCTGCCCAGCTTCCTCCCTGCAGCCCAGCCTGGTCCTGAGGCAGAGGACACACATTCATCTTGGAAGCTGGGCCACTGCCCCTCCTGTGCCTAGACTCAGGTCTCCTAACAAACCTCCATCTCCATATCACTCAGGGGGTGCCTGTTTTCCCCCTGAAACCCTGATGATGTGAAGCAAGAGTTCCCAGGGCTTGTAGCCTGAGCACAGGGATGGAGCCTCCAGTCTCTCTGCTTCCTTTAGGAAAACACCTCCAGCACCGACTGTGGACCACAAAGCCAGAACTAGTGGAGCCCTCTCCATGGAGTGTGGCCTGCTGCAGCCACCTGCTTCCCTGGAAGAGGCAAGTGTGTCTGGGGCTTTCTTCTGTCCAGGGTAGAGGCTCTGGCGCCGAGGAGGCTGCGTGGCGCTCCCTCACCCTAGCCACAGTCAAACATCATGCATGATTGGCAGGGAAGGAAGGATGAAAGCACCGTCATGGTGGTGTATTTATCACATTAAAACACAAAATTAATTCAGCCATTTCTTCTGACCCCAAAATGTCTGAGAAAGAGAGCAAGTAGGGAGATGAATTATTCATATCCTCGGAATCCATTCTCCCAAACATGTGCAAAAAAGAAATTGGGTTTTCCTCCTGAAATGGGGCTGTTTCACCTGAGGGGCCATGAGTCTGAGAAATGTGACTTTGCAGAGGCAGACATCACAGGCTTCCTCCATGGGCTGAGCTGTTCGAGAGAAAGGCAGCCACGGAGGACGGCCTGGCAGCTGCAGACGCTGAAGCTACAGGACAGACCGCTGTCAAGTCTCTTGCCCTGAGACGTGCGGGCCTGGCAAAGTCTGAGAGCGAGGACGACAAGCTGCAAGCCCCCGGGTATGGCCCTGCCACCTTTCTGCCTCCTACTTTTCTCCTCTGTAAAGCGAGCCCCTGAACTCATGTGCATCAACAAGGTGGGGGCTCCCAAGCGCTCTGTGACTCTAAGCTGGAAAGTTCCTGGTGATCCTCTGGAGATGAAGGTCAGCTTGCACCCAGAGGTAAGTCTGTGATGCTCTGCTGAGGCACAGTGGCGCTTCCAGCTGGACACCACCCTTCAGGGCTGTGGGAAGGACAGGGCTATCCAAGAGCTTTCCCAAGGGAGGGAAGAAGGCAGGCAGGCATGGAGGGTGGAGGGTGGCAGGGAGTTGGTACTGTCAGTCCTTGTTTTAGCCATCCATGGCTGGGCAGTGGTATCTTGTAACGTTTGAGTTTGCAGCTCCCTAATGGCAATGGTGCAGAGCATCTTTTAATATGCTTATTTGCCATCTGTATGCTTTCTTGATGGCATATTAAATGCTATTTGAACAGCTACTCTGGGCCCAGCTCTGTGCTAGGTTCTGCAAACCTACTATGAAGATAAATAAGACAGCCTTCCTTTCTACAAGGAGTTCACATCTCATCGGAGAGGCAAACACGTACATAAATGTGAGGCTATTTGGTGAGTACAGCTCACCAAATAGTGCTTTGGCGAGGGCTGGTGGGCAGTCCTTCTTTCTTACGCCCTTAGTTAGGAGACCAAGCAAACATCCTGAAGTTCTACCAGCCCTAAATTCCTCACCCGTGCTGATTGCTTAGTTAACAGTTCCTGGGGTGTAGCCAGGCTTAGTAAATGTTTGCTGATCTTCATCACCATCATGGTCTTCATCATTATCATCGTCTCCATCCTTATTAGCTGGAAGGTCCGAGAGGCTTCCCAGGAGCCAGAGCTGAAGCCCATCCTCAAAGACCGATGAGTCAGCATTTGCCCACTCTGCAGGCAAGGACCCCCAGGCAGGATGCCCCACCTGTCGTGGTTTCCAAGCAGACCAGCACAGGGATGTCACTACTAGGTACCAGGTTCCAAGAATTTCAAGTTTGCTGTGTTTTCCAAAAAGCCGCCATGGAGGCCAGGCAGGCTCAGGATGGGAGGGCAGGTGTTTTTTGGAGCCAAGACCAGTGCTGGTGGACTGTGATGTGACAAGGACTCATATTTGTCCCACTTCCGGCAGCCCCCTGAACTCCCTTCCAAGAGAGCCGCTGTCCTATCTAAGGGTAGCCTTAGCCCAAGTGAGCCAGGAACTGTTCGGGGCTCAGCCCAGGAGACCCCCTTGGCCTCCCTCAAGACGGATCCATCTACAAGGCTCTCTGCCTCCCTGGCTCTGCTGGGGTCTTTAATTGCAGTCTGTTGGTAGAGCACTGTCAAATGTGCAGACAAACGGGGCTGCCAGGGGTCAGGGTGCAGCATGGGGCTGGGCCATTTCCCTAAATTCCAAATGTCCCTACCCCTAGCCCTGGAGATTGGGATGACTGGGGACAGATGACCCAACCAGGGCAGCCAGAGCTGGAAAATAAAGAAGTTTTCTCCCTCAAACCTGGAAAACAACATTTTGAGATGCTATCAATCAGGTGATCAAAAGATCAGCCCAGAGACCCACAATTAGAATAATGGCTATGTCGCTGGACTCCCACATAGTCGACTGCGGTTCGAGTCCCGGACCCGGTGGCTTAAACTCACGCCGGGCGCGTGTGCGTACGTGCCCAAGATCCTGAGAGGAGAATGGAGGAGAAAGGATTGCAGCATGGCCATCCCCCCTGGGGGGTGATTTCTCACCTTCTGTCTCTCTGTCTCTGTCTGTCTGGTGAGCGCACATGCCCTATAGTGAAAACTTCTCCAAAAAAAAAAAAAAAAAGATCAGCCCAAACAGGGAAGTGGAGGGGGTATCTCAACCCTGCTCAGAGGGCTGACAGGTGCTTTTCCAAAGAAAAGGCTTCCCAGTCTCTGGGTGGCAACCAGTCTTTGGACAGGCCTGGACAGCCCCTAGGACCTGAGAGAGGCCACAGCCCAGGCTAGGTAGGATCCAGCGCTGACCACCAGGAGCACAAGCTGAGAAGCAGGATGGGGCAGTGATGGGCGTCAGGAACCTGCCCATGTTCCCAGCAAGAGTTACCCTCCCTGGCCCACACCATCTTCTCATGACCCAGAAACATCTCTCCTCACTCAAACCAAGTCACACACTGCTCAGACACCAGGCTCCGGCATCTTCTCCCAGCCCTGGCAGGTGGAGGAAGTGCAGGCGTCCAGCCCCTACCCCGAGGTCATTAGGGAGGGCAGGAAGAGCCTAGGAGGGGACCAGGCAGCCAGTCAGAGTCCCGGGGAATCCTGAGAAGACAGACCACCTTTCTTCTACCCTCAGTCCACAGGAGACCCTGCCGTAGGTGTGAGCCTTGGCAAGTCAGGCTGGCTAGAGGCAGGACCCAGAGCTGCAGGTACCAGCCCATCCAGGCCAAGCCTGTCAACCTATATGGGGAGGTGGGGAAGACACACTCTCAGAGGCCAGGCCCACCTCCAATATGGGCAAAAAAGGCTGGGGGGGGGGGGCACGGGCAGCACCTGATTCTACTAATTAATTGCTTCAAACAGTCTCTGAAGAGCAGCCAGGCCTGGAAGGTCTGGCCTCCAGACAATGGCATCTCTTCTGAAGACTGAATTTGTCTAAATTTTCTTCAATGTTTGGATACCGAAAGCTAAACCCTCCTCATCTCTCTATCTCCTTCTCACACACACAGCTCATTAGCAGAATTTGATAATAGGGTGGAGGACGAGACGGTAAGCTTCTTGCATAGAGTGCTAGTCCCACACTGACCCTTCTTCCTGGACACCCTCCTAGGCCTTCACCACATGCCCTGCTCATCCCTGGGTCTCCACTGACTCCATTATACCAGGTCAACTGCTCTCAGCAGGCCCTTTATGCCCCCCTAGACTAGCCTGAGTTCATGATCTGACCCTTCCACCTATAAGATTTAGGGCAAGTTCCTTATTAAACCTGTGCCTTCATTCCCCCATCTGTAAGCAGAGGCCCTTGATAACACCTACACTACGGACTGGTTGTAAGGATCAAAACAGAAAGCAGCTAACCGGGCATCTGGACGCAGGCAGCCCTAGCCACTGTTGTCATTTTCTCTCGAGCACTTACTTCAGTTTATAATTATGCGTTCATTTGAGTAATTACATGATTAACGCCTGACTTTCCCCCTCAGTGGTTGGCTCTATGAAGGCAAGGACTCAAGGACACCTCACACAGGGACAGGCTCCTGGGTGGTGCTCAAGAAACTTCTGCTGGGTAGATGGATGGATGAATGGATGGATGCATGAGTGGGTAAGTGGACGGGTGGATGGATGAGTAGAAGACTGGTTGGATGAATGACAGACATGTGGGCAGGTGGGTGGATAGGCATATGGGTGAATGGATGGATGGATGGGTGGGTAGATGAGGGTGGATGGGAAGGAATGAATAGAAATGGATGGTTGGGTAGATGGATGAATGGATGAGAGGCTCATGGGATCAGAGGGACAGCTCCACTTCTGATGTCCAGCTGAGGTCCCTGCAGGGGGCACTCTGCCCATGTCTGACAAGAGGGGCTATCTGCTGGAACAATCAGTGCTTGCCCCATCACTGTGCGATTTGGGCTGAGCCTGAGAAGCCAGCTCTGCAGAGAGGGTTCCTAGCCTTGGACTCCAGAGTGTCATGTGGTTCCCTGGGACAAGCATGCCCACGTCTTTTGCTCAACTGAGACAGATGAGGCACAAATGCATGCTTCATCGGGCAACGGGGAGTCAGACGTCCCTGTGTGCAGGCATCCTGCTGTGCTGGTGATGGAGATGCTTGCTCAGGGGCCTCCGGTGCTGCCGGGGTCATGTTTGATCAGGACGAAGGGGTTAAGTGCTGGCTGCTCTTTAAAAGCCAGAACTGAGATCAATGCAACGCTTCCTCCCTCAGCCCCACAACCTTGGTGGGCTTTGCACCCCCTCCCCAAGATCACTCCTTCTGCCTTACCTCCCCCCACCCCGACCCCCTGCCGAACTGCAGGGAGAGGCCAGTTCCCGCCAGAGTCACTCTGAGCTGTTTTGTGAAAAATCCATTTATTGTCTGCATTGCTTGGGAAGTTATAATCTCGAGGCTGCAGCTTCCTAAGGCGTTGCCATGGAGATGAATTTTCTATCATAAATAAAAGTATTCTGGGGTCAGGAGATCTCAAGCATAACTAGGACAGATTTTGAGGGGGAAAATGCCAGAATTTTTGAGACACATGAGATGATGATTTGGGCTGCTTTTTTCCGGAGGGTGTTTTTCAGGCTGTTATGAATTTGGCACAGGAGCCCAGCTGCCTTTGAACACGGGCCTGTCCCTCGTCTGTCCCCAAGCCCGACCAGCATCCTGTCTTCCTGCCCCGCCCTCCTCCACCTGCTTCGGGCCCAAGCCCTAGGAGGCTTGAGTTTGAATCCAGGCGCCAGTGTTGGAAGGAGGTGTGGGAGAACGTTGACGGGTTGGCTCCAGGGACCCCACAAGTGGCAGGAAGAGCCTATGGCTTTGCTACGTGTCCTCTTCCATCTCTGGACTTGACACTGCTGGGGAACTGAGCTCCCTCACTCCAATTTTCTTGGCACATTCCTCAGGTGCCTCCCATAGGGCCAGGAGTGAGCCTGGGGCAGAGGAGGGGCCCTCCAGCCCCAAGTGACCCTCACTGTGAGGCCCTGACCCACCAGCTCTGTGGATGCTCACTTCCCACCAGCCCTGGGGAAGTTAGCTTTAGGGATTTCCTTTTGTGCGGGGTCAGCACAGGTCAGTGTTTAAGGAGATAGGGAGGTGAGAGCAGTGCCTTGTGGGGAGGTACGCAGGGCTGAGAGGCCTCGGGTCACCACCTAGGCCAGCAGCCAACATGAGCTGTTTGCCAACCCCCACCCACACACCCGGCATTAGGTAAACACCGCCTTCTGCACTCACCCCTACCCCCCAAGCGCCATCCCTTGCACAAAGAGGCCCCGGGTCCTGGGCAGCTCCAGGAGTCCCCATGATCCTGGGATGAGAACCACTACACCCTAGGTCCCCCTCAGTCTGCTGAGGCCCTACCAGAAGGAAGCAGCCCTGGGCTCTAACGGCCCTCGACCTATCTTTCTAGGGAAGCTGCAATCAAGGCCAGGGCTGCAGCCCCAGGCACCGCTGTGCTCCAGAAAATGAAT